GTCACTAGCATATTTTCATTATCTTTTTTTATGGTTATAAAAATATACTTGCTTGGCCAGTTTAGAGAATAGTACAATAAAGATAAAAATACAAATTAATTACATTTTTTTTCTAGAGATAAGTGTAATCAGCAGTTTTCTTTCAGTTTTATCCAGATTTTAAAAATAGTTTAGGTCATACTGATTTTATACTGAATATTTATTGATCTCTGTCTGAACACAATTTATATGGTTACATACTGTTTTATAATATAATTTAACTGCTGTCTATTAAGTTTTCCAGTATTACTTGAACATTTGTTTTTCACACGATAAATTAAACTGTTGAATAGACTTATGAATAAAAATTTAATTACATTTTTGACTTTTAAAAATAAATTCTTGCAGGTAGAATTATTATGTCAAATATTTAAAAGGTTTATTAAATTGTTTTTGATAAAAATACTTAGTTTGCTTTCCTACCAGTAATGTATACATGCATTATTGTCTAAACTTTCTAGTCATTATAAGCATTATTTATTTGTTTTTATCATTTTTTGGGTAATGTATGAACATTATCAAGAGTTTGGTTTCTTACCATGTGAGTTTCAAATTAGTTGCCATCTTTTCTGGCTATAAACTTAAGTTCTCTATACTGACTCTGTTTCTGCCCACTTCTCCACATACCCATTCTCTGTTTATGTTTTCTTATTGCTTAAGACACATGTGGCTGTGGTAATTTTGCTGTCCTCTCCATTGCCCTGTACTTATATTGTGTCCTTTGAAGTCTAGCACAAGTTGCACTGTTTTATTTTTCCACATTTGCTAATTCTTCCTCTCTTTTGATTTTCCGTAGCATGTAAATCTCTACTATACCCTAGGACACCCAGCCAAATTTAAGATGTAATGCATTACTAGTATATCATGCATTTTGATGTCATTAGTCTGACTCCTCCTTTTTGTTTTTGAAATTTTGGGAAAATATCACACTTTGTTTTGGTAGAAATATCATAATTAGAACCCTTTTTGTATCTAGAAAAGACCTTTTAAACTCCCTTTTTGCTTTCAGTCACAGAAAACCCCTAACATTTTCCTCTTATGATTTAAGACATGATCTGTCTGACTTAAGACATGATCTGGTCTATTGGTGACTTTTTTTTAAAATCTTTTTTTTAAATGTCAATGAGTATAAGTCATTATTCTCTAAGTTCTTCCCTAGTTTTAGATCTGAGAAATTTGGCATCTATATCTCACAACAAACAGATTTCTTTTTTTACTGTTGTTATTATTGAAAAGATGAATTGAACATTAGAAGACCAGTTTGTGTATCATATGTATACTTTTCATTTATTTATTTGGCAGTATTGGGAATTGAACTCAAGATCATTCATGTGCTAGGCAAATGCCTTACCACTTGAGGCACACTTCTAGTTCTATTTCTCTCTGTAAGTATTATTTTTTGCAGTGTTGGGGATTGCACATGTTAGGCAAGTGCTCTACCATTTAGCTACACTCTCAGCCAATAACTTTTTAATACTGCTCTTTGAACCTATAGTGTTGTGAGTTTCTGAGCTATTTGAATTTGTATAAAAATTTGTCTTAAATAATGTAGAATTACTTCTTGACACTAAACTTTTAATTTGGACAAATGTGATTATGCTATCTAAAAGTAGGATATTAAAAGGGAGCATAGAATGGTAGAACTACATTGAACAGGAATTAGGAGATCTGACTCTATGTGACCTTAAGAAAATTTCTATTTTGGGGATATTAGTTTCCATATTCATAAAATAAGAGTTAAGAGATAAGAAAAACACAGAATTTACAGATTTGGCCTTCAGTCCTCAACTTGTCATTAGGTGTGACTTTGCTAGTCACATATCTGTGTTTCTTTATCTGTAGAGTAGGGATAATAGTACTTATCTCATAAGATTATTGTGAATATTAACAAAATAATTGGATTTAAAAAGCCCTTTGAATAGTGCCTGGTAGAAAGTAAATAATATTAAATTATTATTATTAGATGATTTTTTTAATGTCTTTGCAGACTTCAGAGAAAAATTTAAATTATATGATATAACTTCATTAGCTTGGGTTTTGCCTGTATTTAGAGAATGATTGGTTTTAATATATAGTTTCCACCCTAATGAATCAAAAAAGCTTATATTTATTCAGTATTATTTTTCCTGGAAAATAGTCCATTTCTTGAAAATACATATTGGATGTCGTCCTTCTTGGATCTTGCACTCTAACTTCTAAAGTGAAAGTGGAATGTAAATGGGGTTTTTATAGGTGTGCTTCTTTAATTGTTTGATTTTGTTCTTCCTTTCCTCTTCTTGCCTCTCTTTACTATCTCCCCCCGCCCGCCCAGTTTAAACATGTGACACTATTACTGGACTTTTTGAATCATATGGCAAGAGAATTTAGTGTCTAGAAGCTTATGAAGAATACAATTTGAAACACCAGTGTCACAGTATTACTCAAAATATTTAAGCTGGTGGGTTCCTGACCTATGCAATGCTCTCTACTCAGAATCATTGTTTAGAAATTGGGCTACTGTGTGGTAGTATAAACTTTAGCTTGATAATTTAGTACCTCTGATACACATGGAGATTAAGGGTGAAAATACTGTTAGTAAAGTTTCCATATAGTACAATTTTATTCTCTTTTCCCTGTGTATTCCAATGAGCAAAATGAGGAAATAAGATATTCCAAAATCCATTTTTTAAAAATTATGATAAAATGTATCCTAAAATTAGAACATTTTTTATTACTTTTAAATGTTCATTTCTGTGACATTGAGTACATTCATATTGTGTACATCTACAACCACCAGAACTTTTTCATCTTATCAGCTGTACCATGGAATACTACATCCCTGTTCCCCTTTCCCCAGTCTTTGGCAGCAATCATCTGCTTTCTGGCTCTGTGTCTTTAGGAACCTCACATAATTGTCCTTTTGTGGCTGGCTTATTTCTCTTAGCATAATGACTTCAGGTTTATCCATATTGGCATATGCCAGAATTTCTTTCCCTTTGAGGTCAAATGCTATTCCATTGTATGTATGTATTCATCTATCTATCTGTCTGTCTATCTATCTAATCTATCCATCTCATTTTATTTATTCATTTATCCTTCAGTGTACACCAGTTGCTTCCACCTTTTGGCTGTTGTAAATAATGCTGCTATGAACATGGATGGGTGTACAGATGTCTCTTTAAAACTATGCTCTCACTTTTTTGGGTTTGTACCCAGAAGTGGAATTGTTGGACCACATGTTAATTCTGTTTTTATTTTTAGATTTTTTTGAGGGACTGGTCATGTACCTTTTTCCATAGCATCTATACCATTTTACATTTCCAGCAACAATGCATAAAGGGTTCCAATTTTTCTATGTCCTCATCAGCACATATTCCAATTTTTGTAAAAATAAATCACCATCTTAAATAGCTATAGATGTGAAGTGATATTTCATGGATTTGACTTACGTTTTCGTAATGGTTAGTGAGGTTGAGGAGTTTTTCATGTGCTTATTGGCCCTATATGTCTTGTTTATATATATATATGTCTTCTTTGATGAAATGTCTGTCCATGTGCTTTGCCTCTTTAGCTAGGGTCATGTTCTTTTGGAGGTGCCACGAATATAACTATAAACTAGGTAAGTTGATGCTACATGACATTGAATTTATTAAAGGGAAAAGCCATGAGTCAGGTGCAACATCTTCAGTGGTTGTTCCATGCTGCTCTAGTTGTGTTTTATCACTTTTAAATCAAGAGATAATGTTTGTAATTGCATCCAACTTAATAATTTAGGACCACAAAGGAAACTAAAGGAGTAACAACAACTGTAAGCTAAAATAATATAATCAAATAACTACTAGGATAGTTGATAAAAGTTTGTGAAGTAAAGATATCTATGAGAACTGTGCCAAGAAAAATAATAGAACTATGGTTTAAATTAGAAAACATGTACGGTATACAAAAACAGGACTTTTTTGGGTGAGGGGGTGTGGTATTGAACTTAGGGCTTCATGCTTGCTAGGCAGGTGCTCTACCACTTGAGCCATTCCACTAGCCTTTTTATGTTGGTTATTCTTGAGATAGGTGCTTCATTTCTAGACCAGTCTGGACTGTGATCCTCCTATTTGTGCCTCCCTGCTTAGCTAGGATGACAGGTGCATACAACCATGCCCAGCCATTGGTGTTGAGATGGGGTCTTGTGAACCTTTTTGCCTGGGCTGATCTTGAACCATGATTCTCTCAATCTCTGCCTCCCTATTAGTTAGAATTACAAGTTTGAGCACGGTGCTTAGCTGAAAATAGGGATTTTTTTTTATAAATTAGAATTCTTTGTTCAGATGTATGATAAATATGTAAACCTCAGCTAGATGGCTGAGTGGCATTTTATTTTGTATACTTGTGTTCACATATGGTCCTTAGGTCCTTTTATTATAGTTACCAAGTAACTCTTTCTTCTCAGAAAAATACCTGGATGTTTCGATTCAATTTAGTTTTTAGCATAACATTTTCTTACTTTGTATAATATGTGCATATGAAATCTATACATATTTGGTAGGCTTGATTTTATTATAAAGGCTTAAGAAAATTGACAGTTATGCTGCAGAGCTTTGCAGAAAATAATTTTATTAGCTTCTTTCCCTAATTAGGGCTTTCACAAAAACATCGATTACCAAAACAGTGAAAGATTTTAAATAAAAATAGAAAAATGTGAGGAAGGACTAAGCTTATATTTCTGATGAGTTCTATTGACATCAAGCACTTGCACTGATTAAGACTAAATTCATACTTATGATAGATTTGAATTCCCTTCTTTAAATCAATGGCTATATATTAATCATATAATGTGGGGTTCAGTAATATAATGAACCAAACCCATAGGATTGCAGACCTAATGTCTGTTATTTTTAACATGAGGAGTTTAGGTCATCTTTTAAAATGACTGCAAATAACTAACAATATAAAGGTAATATTAAAAGAAATTCCCCTCATTTTTCTAACAGAGTCAACATATTTCATTAGCACCTATTCATAAGCTTGAAGAAGCACTATATGAATATCAGCCACTGCAGATAGAGACATGTGGACCGCAAGTTCCTGAGCTTGAGATGCTAGGAAGACTTGGGTAAGTGTCCAAAGAACTTCACATTGAGAAGCTGATGTATAGGGGTTTTTGCTGCTATTTTAAATTGACATTTTAGTGTTCTTATGTTTTTAATTTATAGATCTTAACTTTTTTAAAATAAAATAAGCAATGCTTAATACTAAGTTGTTTTATTTAGTACATTAATTTTTCAATAGACTTTCTACGTTTCTTGAGATTGAGACTGAAATGCAAGAGTTCCCTTTTAAGACTGTCCTTGGTAGTCAATTGAAGTGGCTGTTGATTTTCAGCTCACCATGTATTTTTGTTTTTTTAATTGGGGCTTGACTTAGTCAGTAGTAAGCCAAGCAAAAATATGAGTTTGACTTCTTGCCATAAAAAATGGGCAGATTTATTCACTGCCTGCTCTCTACAGTGAAACTACATTTACGAGACTTGAACCACAAAATGTATTTTGTCAGAAGGTATAACGTAGTGTTGGCTCAGTGGCTCAGCAGTCATATTGTATGTATCCATTTTAGAAATGAACTTGGGATTGTGGCTTTTGTGAATGATGGAGATGGTCACAGTCTGTCTCACAAGAGCAAGTGGGTATCTGTGTAGTTGGAAATTATTGATGCAGATGTTTCTGAATGGAGCAAATCATTTCTTGGTCTGTTTTGTCAACATAAACTATTGAATAGGAGGCTGATCCAGAAACCATGTTTCTTAACAAAAGAAAATAATGTAAAGAATGTAATGAGAAAAAAAAATAATGCATACAATAAGGCCAAGTAATTAAAAAAAAATTAAAGACTACAACAGTAGAAACAAACAAAAAACAAGATGAAACAAGATTTCAAAAGCAAAAGCAAAATCTTGAATATGATGCATGGTATTCTACATTTGATTACTGAGGCTCAAAGGTTTAATGTATAATTAAAATGATATTATTTAATTATTCATTGTTGGAGAGCTCTTAATGCTAGATTTTTAGTTCAATACTGTCAACATAAGTCTTACAGCCTCCAGCCATGAACCCAACAGGATGTGAAACAAAACCTAAAATCTCCCATAAAGTAACAAATTTATCAAATAATTGCCCTATATGCTAAAATTAAAGGTTGAGGAGGTAAAGAATATTGTATTTTATGATGTAAAAAAAATTACATGGTATAGACATTGATTTTTAAAATTTCTTACTAGATTATTCTCTCTCTACAATAAACATTTCTTAAAACACTTTTTTTTTTTGTGGTGCTGGAGTTTGAACTCAGGGCCTATATCTTGAGCCACTTCAGCACCCCTCTTTTTTTGTGATGGGTTTTTTTGAGATAGGGTCCCATGAACTGTTTGGATGGGCTGGCTGCGAGCTGCAATCCTTCTGATTTCTGCTTCCTGAGTAGGTAGGATTATAGGTGTAAGCCACCAGTGCCCAGCTTAAAACACTTATTTTTAATGTCAGTAAAGATAATTTATTTAAAGTAGTCATTCCTCTGTTACAGTGTTTTTGTATTTTCTAATAATTTTGTCATAGCAATTATATTTGAGAGAGATCTTGGAATCATGCATCATAACTGCATTGTTTTATAACAGAACTGTATGGCAGCAGTGCAAAAGACAGGAAGAAAGACAAGGAAATATGTTATTATAATGTTTTTACATTGTCAGTGAAGTATGATATTATCTGGAAGTAGACTGTGATGAGTTAAAGATATTTAGTACAAACCCCAGAGCAACTGCCCAAAAAAGTAAAACAAGAAGACATGGTCAATAAGCCATGAGAAAATGATAGGACCAGAAAGATGCTTAATTCATGAAAAGGAAGATAGGAAAACAAAGACAAAGAAAAACTGAGACAATTAGAAAACAAATACTCTGATTATAGATTTAATCTTAACCATATGAAGAGTTAAATATAAATGCTGTAATCTAGCATGGTCACCAGAAATTTCTATAACGATATAAATGTTTCATATCTGCACTGTCCACCAGTCACATGTTTCCACTGAGTATTTTAAATGTGCTTAGTATAATTGGAGAACTGAATTTCAAATTTTATTAAATTTAAATGGCCAGATGTTGCTACTGACAATCATATTGGACAGCATAGGGCTAAATAATTCAAATAATAGAGATTGCAAGATTAGATTAAAAAATGAGGCAAAAGTTTGAATTTGTTTCTGTGGGTACCTGGTGTAACATAGGTGTGTTCACAGTTTCTTTGGGCTTCTCGGATCTACATTTTGTTGTTTCAATTTTATATATACCTCAACCATTATCTTTTCAAATATTTCATCTTCATTTCTTTTATCATTTTGCAGCTCTGATTTCACCTTTTAAAAAATCTTTTTTAACCTTTTTATTGTGGTAAAATATACACAAAATAAACTATTTTAACAATTTTAAGTATGCAATTCAGTGATATTAAGTAGATTCATACTGTTGTGTAGCCATCACCACCATCAATCTCCAGAAATTTTCATCTTGCAAAACTGAAGCTGTAAACCCATTAAACATTTCCCTACATTCCTTTTTCTTGCCAGTGCTTGGCAACAACTGTTCTACTTTTTGTCTCTGTAATTTTACTCTAAGTTCCTCATGTAAATGGAATAATACAGCATTTGTCTTTTGTGAATGGCTTGTTTCAAGTAGTATAATGCTCTCTAAGGTCAACCATATTGAATTATATGTGAGGCTTTTTAGGGCTGAATAATATGTTGTATGTATGTATCACTTGCATTCATTCTTACGGATATTTAGATTACTTCTATCTCTTGTGAATAATGCTGCCATGAACATGGGCATCCACATATCTCTTTGGGATCCTACTTTCAGTTTTTTTTTTGATATATATCCAGAGGTAGGATCACTTTGTATTCTGTGTTTTGTTTTTTTTAAGGAACCTTCACTATTCTCCAGAATCTGAACCATTTTATGAATAGCATGCAAAGGTTTCAATTTCTCCGTATGGTCACCAACACTTATTTTCTGTCTTTTTAAATGATAACCATTCAATGTGCTTGGGAATATCTCATTATAGTTTTGTCTTTTTTTTTATTCATTTATTCACATGTGCATACATTGTTTGGGTCATTTCTCCCCCTGTCCCCTGCCCCCACCCTCTCCTCATTATAGTTTTGATTGACATTTCCCAAATGATTAGTGATGGTGAATATCTTTTCATGTGTTCATCATCTGTCATCTGTCTATCTAGCTCTATATAGAGATTTTTTTTCCATTACCAGGGATTGAAGGGCCTTGTAGATGTGAAGAAAGAAAGCATATTTATTTATCTTCTTTAGAGAAATGTTCATTCAAATCCTTTACCCATTATTGAGTTGTTTTTTTTTTTTTTTGACCTTTAAGAGTTCTTTGTATATTTTGGACATTAATCTCTTATGTGGTCTGAGTGTATTCCTTGAAAATTCAAATGTTGAAGCCTAATCCTCAAAGTGATAATATTAAGAGGTGGGACCTTTAGGAGATGATAGATCATAAGAGTAGAACCCTTATGATTGGGTTTAATGTCATTTTAAAGAGACCCAGAAGAGCTTGTTTGCCCTTTTCTACCACATGAGGACATAGGGAGAGCGTGAACTCTCACATTAGACACAAGGTCTGCCAGTGCCTTGGCCTTGGATTTCCCATTCTCAAGAACTGTGAGAAATTAATGACTACTTTTTATCAGTTATCTGGCTTATGGAATTTTGTTATAGCAGCCCAAATGGACTAATCTATTGTCTGGAATATGATTTTCAAACATTCTCTCCCATTCATGGGCTACCCTTTTGCTCTGTCAAGAGTGTGTTTTGATGTACAAAGTTAAAAATTTTCATTGACGTTGAATTTTTCTATTTTTTTGTCACTTATGCCATTAGTGCCATGTTACCAGATCCACAATCATTAAACATTTGTATTATGTTTTTCTCTAAGAGTTTTATGTATTAAATTTAGGTTGTAGGTTTGTTCGGGTTTTTTTTTGTTGCAAGCACTATGCCACTGAAGCAACACCTCCAGCCCTCGTGGATCTGTTTAGAGTTTACATATAGTTTATATATATTTATATAAAGTTATAAAAGTATAACATAAAGTTTATATATATAGTTTATAAATAAACATATTTAAGGTTTATACCTATAAACTATATATTTATATATAAATATATCTATAATATAAATATATCTATATCTGTGTCTATCCATCATGTTAGATAAAGGGTCCATCTTCTTTCTTTTTAATGTGGATGTCCCATTTTCCCAGCACCATTTATTGAAAAGACAGTTTTGTCCTCATTGAATTAGCTTGGCACCTGTTGACAAAAATCATTTGGCCATATGTGCTAGGGGTTATTCTTAGATTCTGTATTCTGCTTTGTTGTTCTCTACGTCTGTCTCCATGCAATTACATAGTATTCTGTAGTAATTTTGAAATCAGGAAGTGTAGGTCCTCCAGCTTTGTTCTTCTTTTTCAGGATTGTTTTGTGTACTTGGAGTCCTTCGAGAGTCCATAAGAATTTTAGGAAGAATTTGTTTATACCTATAATGAAACATCATTGAGGTTTGATAGAGATCAAATCAAATCTATAACTCATTTTGGAAAGTATTGAAATCTTAATATTGTCTTCTAGCCCACAAACATGGTCTTTCCACTTATTTATGTGTTCTTTAACTTCATTTAGAAATGTTTTAGAGCTTCTATTGTGTAAGTCTTTCACTTTCATGGCTAATTTGTAAATATTTTGTTCTTTTTTATTCTATGTAAATGGAACTGTTTTCTTAATTTCCCTTTTGAATTGTTCATTATCGGTGTGTAAGAATCTGCTGATTTTTTTACTTTGTGTCCTGGTATATTGCTGAATTTTGGTTGTGACTGTTTTGTTCCGTCCTTAAAATTTTCTACATATATGATCATATCTTTTGGGAGCAGATAATTTTACTTCTTTTTTCTTTCCCAGTGTGGGGTCTTAACTTTCATTGTTTAATTGCCCTAGCTGGTATTTCCAATGGTCCGTAGAATGGCAGATTAAAGTAGTCATCCTA